ACCGCTATTGCGGGTCAACAGGTCGTAGATATCGATCGTGGCCTCGCCTAACAGGGCGTCCCTTTTGATTGAGTTGTGGTTAAACACTCGCAGATGAATGAAGGAATAGGGAGACACCAGTCTATCGTACAGACAACAAAAACACACAATTATTGCATTATTCGCTAATTAATTATTTCAACCAATTATTCAAAAGGCTTTCATATTTCAGACGTAAATGAAAATAATTGGATAAATAATTATAGTTTTATTCATTCAAATGTGTGTCCAATTATTAACTCATTTCGTAACTATTAAAATAAAAGCAAACATCATTATAATTACTGCATATAATTATTATTACCGGATACTCATAACACTATCATATTTATCAGACAACATATGCAACTAATTTTCATATAAATTTGTTTCAAAAATCATAAACCATTTTACGACTTCGTAGGTCTTAATCACAGCTAATAATGGTTTAAATAAATAACAGTATAATATAACAGTATCTTATCAACCATTGAATGAATAATCAAATAATCATAAAAAGAGTTGTTTTAACGTATATTCGGTACTAACAGAGGAACCACTTCATCCCATTTGGGATTATATGTGGACTTATTGTAGTCAGTCTTGTTAGGTGTGCCCCCGTCCACCACTACCTCCACATACGGGTCCGGCTTAAAGAAAGCGGTCGTTCCCGACAACTTGGCTGACGATACTGTCGACAGACAACAAAATATCAATTAATCCTCACATCCATGTTAGGTGTGCCCCCGTCCACCACTATCTCCACATACGGGTCCGGCTTAAAGAAAGCGGTCGTTCCCGACAACTTGGCTGACGATACTGTCGACAGACAACAAAATATCAATTAATCCTCACATCCAAACAACTCATCACTCATTGAATACCTGTTAGATTCAACTCAAACAACAGATCCGACATTTGACCGCAGATTGGTTTTGGGGTTTAGTTATTGAATATTTAATACCAAAACGCAAGTCATATAAAAATGTTGAGCACACAGTATGCAAATAAATTATTATAGATATTATTATAATTTATTACTTATTATTACTACTATTAATAATATTAATTCGTAAGCTTCGCGTAACAGTAAATCACTGAAACATAATAATTGTCTCTAAAATCAATATAAAACTTCTCATTTGATTTGATTCAATGTAAACACAAATTAATTATAAACACAATATTATTATCGTTACTATTATTACTAATTATTAATTGCAATAATGTTAGCGTTGATTAGCAGTAGTTTTTGCGATATTCACATCCCATTCAAGTCAGACATCATTTGTAAAAATACCTGTAATTTGAGATAAAGACA